CTCTGATCCTACAGCATCGCCTGTGTTAGGATATTGACAGGGGTAGCTATTCGCAGTACGAATTTACAGACCGCCGGTGGCTGGAATCTAGGTGAGTGACTCGAAAATCTTTTCGTTATTACTGATGCCAATGAAAACGTACTAGCCGGCACCTACAGCACAGAAGTGGTCGTTTTGAATGCACCTCCTTCCAAACATTTGCTGACGGTTTGCATTGAGGTTTTTCTCTTGCATTTAGGTACGCACCTGAAAGCCTTTCCAACGTTCCAGCGGCCACAACCCCGCCGCGGTTTGTGTTTACACCCTGCCTCGGACAAGGACGCCGACGGGCGTTCCCAGATGCGTGGTCTTTCACCGCCTTCCAGCTCACGCCGGTTTCATATAGATCGGGCTGTGCCCCTCGTCATCTGGCTCCGGTCGGCCTTCATTATCCGCGTGCGTTCAAATCTGCTTGCACCACATCTCCTCTTTGACTGATATTTCGTTCTACCGACCACTCCACCGCCGTCTCGGGCCCGTTCCCCCGGCGCACGTCTACACTCCCGACGCTGGATGCTACCAACCACTACGCACTCGGCATGCCTGAATATCGTCCAAATCGCACCCAACGCGGCCTATTGCTGTGCGTGTCACACACACTCTGACCTGGGTACCTCGCAAATCGACTCATTCGGACAATGTAGGTCCCGCCTCGCGATCCGGAACCCCATGAAACTTTGCCTTCGCTGCGCGGCCGGCGTCGGCAATATCGCGTCGATCCTTTGAACGGCGGAGCGTCCCAGCGACCTTCCGAAAGTAGATTGTTCCCACGAGGATTACTTTGTTGTATATAGTACTTGCTTGAATGTCGCATCTACAATCTCCAGAATCCCTGATCTCAATGAACACGAGCACGAAGTGTACGCGTAGTTGCTTCCGACCTATCGTAGTATCAAATTTCCCAGGCTTGACCTGTTCTTTCCTTTTTCAGATGTCGGAGGTGTTCTATTTAAATAACCTTTGGTGTATCAACTCGTGGCTGATACTGCGCCCACAGAGCATTGTCGCTCTCTCACTCTCTCCTCCACCATCCACCTCACTCCTCTGTCGATGGCCGAATCTCGGCGCTTCTTCAGCCACTCTCGGGGTCAAAAGGCTACACCATCGGTCACAGCTTATGTTAACCTGGCAGTCTGCTGCGTTATGCGTATTCCCAGCATCTCCAAGTCTTCTCGCAGCGTTTTGCCCTCGGAACGGCGCTCTCACGGAGCTGAAACGGATCACGGACTGTCGGGAATCCAACCCGCGCTGGCATCTGCCTCCGACTCTCGTTCACTGCTATATTGGCGTCGTCTCTCATGCAAGTTCCTTGGCTTGTGATACTGTACGCTTGATCACGCTTCTCTTCCCTGCCTGCGGTCTCTTTGGCAGTAAATTTAATTCTTCTGAGTCTTCCAGCGACGACACATCTACGGTGTCTCGCGCTCCGCGGACCGCATTCAAAGACGACCGGTGTCCGCACTTCAAGTTGTGTCCACTTTGAGCACGGTATGTCTCATGCGAGTATTTTGTTGCCCGGATCTAAATGCACCCCGGGCACGAGGTGCCCCGCTGCCCAGCGTTTGCCTGCCCCGACGTGATATTTCCTTTTCCGCGGATGCCTAACTTGCCCGGGACATGTCTGGACAGCGTACAGCGGTCAGTTCGGGCTCGAGTCAGCGGAACTTACTGTTAGATTGCGTGATATTGCGTACAAGTTTCCATATGGTGAGAGTTTCCGATATTATTTATTATCTGGCCAACCCTCAGCTACTGAGGCTCGGAGTCGTACAGCCCCCTTGATAGGGCAGCCAATGTGGAGATACGGTCAGTTTCATTCTCTCTACCGTATGGGTATAACCAGCGTTTTCACTATCAACCCGTAGATGAAATGATAATGTCGTTTGAAGTTGAGGAGGATCAGGCCGGAGGTTGCCGAGGTACGATCGAGTTTTGGGATTGCGGCACTGTCTTGCTTGACTCATCTATAAGGATTAGGCCAACGTAACGGCTGCACGAGACGACGAAAGGCAATTGGTTGCCGCCATATGACCTCGAACCGGGGAACCAGCTTAGGTAACATGTGCGACTCACTGGGAGGAAATCGAAGCACGGAAGCGGCGGCACCGTGAAAAAAGCTTGACAAAAAGGCCAGAATTCGCCCATGAGACGGCTACGGTGAGTAGCCATAGTCCGGTATAATTTTGTTTCAAAGTATAGGTACAAATATACCTGGTTGCAAAGGGACTTTGCCGCCACTGCGCGGGAATGCTCCCCTATAATCCACGCAAGTAAAATCCTTCCACCTCCCATGCTGAAGGGTAGCCTTGAGATAGTATTGAAGTAGGCGACTAGCTAGGCTGAATGAGGCTGAATCAATAGGACAACAAAAGGACTTGAATTGATTCCGGTGTTATTGGAGTGTCTTGAATATAATTGAGAATGCCTGATTGCCCTAGTGCTCAATGGGAAGGTGATGGAATCATAAAGTTGGGGACCCCTCCGGATGGGAAATTTGCGTGCGAATCCGTTTGAACGGGTCAGCTAAGGGGCTGGGTGGGCGGTTGGACTTGTAATGGGAATATTGGGGGGAGGAGGTGAGCAGAGTATTGGCTGCGGCGCAAGGAAGACCATACATACGGAGGTGGTATAGCGACTCAGAGGAAGGTATTGGGTGGTATATTGATGACATCGGGTCACCGAAGTCATACCGTCACTCCCGCGCCTACCTATATGTTTCTTGCATTCGTTTAGCGAATGGTGGCTGTCCGCATCGCTTATTTCCTTTTTGGGCCTGATCCGGCGTGATCCGATCACCGAATTCCCTTTTTCAGCCATTCCCAGGCACTGCTTTTGAGACAACGAATGGTGGCTGTGCCCCATTTCCACTAATTATAGTACCTTTCCACTATTCTTAGCTACCACTGTTCCTATTTTTTGTCGCTGTCACTATTTTTATCTACCAGGTGCTCTATTTTCTAGCTCCAACTATTATTAGCTACCACAGTTCCTATTTTCGACGCTGTCACTATTTTTATCCAAGCGGCAAGTATTATTAGCTACCACTATTATATTTTTACACTGTAAGTATTTTCGGGGAGGGGAGCTATTTTTAACTACTGGTGCTATTGTTGTTGAGAGCGCCCAGGTGAGGGCTATTTTTAACTCGAGTGTTCGGGACATCCGACTTTGAGGGTGCATGAAAGAATTGTAGAGTGCATGAAAAGACCTGCAGTTGCGGGAGTCGAACCCACGAACAAAACAAGTCAGCATCACGTGCCCATCAACATCTGACAGCTTAACCAGTTGATCCAAGCAACCGTTAGATACACAGTGGTTACGATCAACAGGTGTGCATGTTTCTGGCATTCGGCACATGATCTGCTGCCCAGTGCTGTGCCTCTGCCGACATTCCACCTTTTGTTTACCCAGCACCCCCAATGTTTGCGTACCTATTATATGAGACCGTGGGATCTAACAACGCATGCCACGAAGATCAAAGCGACTTGCCCAGTTTTAGAGGCTCACCCAGCCATGGAGACTTTTGTGGACGGTGCGAGCATCATGTGACAAAGATCAAAGCCCTACTGGCAACCTGTGCCAAACAAATATTTGTTTGTCCCTTGTTTGTTTCCCTCCCGACGTCGCTGCAGCCCTCCCCACTGACGCTATGGCTTCAAATAAAAATCGAGGCGACATATGAGAGTCATGTCCATGTATTCTGCGAGACGGAATTTTTGAATTTTGCCCAAAAGAGTTTTATGCATTACTGAAATTGATGTGAAACGGAGAAAAGAATTCACAGCAGACTAACAAGGGATAAAATGAAAATTCTGTCTCGCACAATACATGCGCAAGGTGAATGCAAACAATCTTCCCCCTCAAAGTTCATCCAAAATATTGACAACTGAGGCTGCACCGACGATTGGGCATTTTCTCAGTTGTCATATAATATAATGTTTTACCGGGGTGATCTTGAGCAAGGTTAAACGTATCTTTGAGACATAGAAGTTTTCATCCCTTGCTCCGAGTCCACTCTGATTCTCGAACGTGTTGCTGATAGGATAAGCTAGCCGAGGCCGGGCCCCGCGTCCTCGGCTAGCCCTCCATTTCTCACACTTGTGGGATAGCAGCATGATGATCAAGACACGAGATTGATATCAGCGAGCGTCGACGGGATTATAAGGACCTCAAATGCCCCGACACAATCCCAACCCAGCCATGGACCGTGCCCAGTATTTGACCTGCCTCCAACAAGAAATGAAGGAGCTTGATGCGTTGCGAGACTTTTGGAGGCTTCCGTGGAACACTTCACCGCCGCGCACACACACCTACATGATGCGCTCACGCCTGGCGACGCTGGACATGAGTCGGTCACACTTCTCTTTACTACGTGCTTAATTTCCGTTCCAGTCCAAATCGGACCTACCCCCCAGCAACACTGAGGATTCTACTTGATTTGCGTGGTGCGATTTCGACCCTCTCATTCGTTCTTATGCCTGTAGAATCGAGATATCACCGCACCGAATCTGTTTCATAAAAAATGACGTATTCTACGCCCTACTTGTTTACACGCGTGTTCAGAGACCCCTGTAGAATCAAGCTATTCTCTCTGTGTTTACAGACTCATTTGTGCCCCATCTTCCGATGGTGATCATTCAAGAATACGTATACATTGTTTATGATACTCCCCAGTCCGTTTGAAAGTTCCATCGTGAATGCCGCCCATTTAGCCTCCAGGCCTCGACTTGCCTCGCTGGGAATTTCACTGTGGCTCAAGACATCCGATTTCCTGACATATGCAGTAGCAGCAGGAGGTCAATCAGCCATTGGCATATTTCCATCGTGTCAACGTGATGTCCGACATGTGTTCTTAATATGACGCCGTAGAGCACTCACCTCTATTGTGACTTGGATAATGCTTTTTTTATTTATCGTCATTTTGAATGGCAGGTGGGCGTTCCCAACTCGACCTGTTTCACGGCCGTGTGGTGTAATGGGTAACACGCCATGTTATAATTCCTCCCTGGTAAATTACTACATGGAGTCCTATGTTCGATTCATAGCTAGGCCAATTTCCACTTTCCCGTCATTCTTTTTATAACTGACGTCCAGTAGAGTTCTTTTCTCACTCCAGCGCCACCGGGGATTCCGCGCGAGGCTGGCCCGAGTGGGTGCGTTTCGACCCTCTCATTCAGATATCCTCCGCACTGAACCTGCCATTGATTTCAGGACCCCACTTGGTACATCTCATGTTCTAGGTGAATAAATTCGTTTGCGCACATTTCACATCAAGCTCCGTGCATGACCGCTGTACGCGGTAGCGCGTTGTGCCGATAGGCGCTCAGATTGCCATTATAGGGTAAAGCTCGCTCTTGCCATGGTCAACAATGGAAACGACGACTCGGTCGTATGCTCTCTGGAGTGACCACTGGGAGCGCCTCGCGGGCGTACCATTTCGATGATTTGACTTCAACTCGTTGCCCCATAGCGTTGCCGTGCCCTCCGAACTCGATCAGCACGGTGGTTTCCATACATATGCAATGAAAAGCAGAGATCGAACCGGCAAACGCAGTCAAAACCATTGCCTAAATGACATCGTTGGCATCCCAGGGATGGCAATGAGGTCATCATTGCGATCGAGACCCAGAAAGAAGGTTGGCAAAAGTCCCGCTCTGCAGGCAAACTCGTGGGTGTATAACAAGCAGCATGAAGCAGCTCGTTTTTGGCAATGTTGGTATTGGTGATATACATGTGGTGCTGTCCTCACAACGTGTTAAACCTGGGGTCGATCCCATCCCGTCTTCATTTTCATAGGTTCCCTCCTTGCTAGTCATCTTGTAATACCCATTCGCAGTCGCACCTCATTTCCCTCTTATCCATTAAAAACATCTCATTTTCCTACCCTCAAAGCTCTGTGCACCCTTTCGACTGCCGTTGATTCTATGTTATTAATGGAGACAAAAATGATGGCCCAGTTGCGAATTGAACGCAAGTCTCTATGTATAACATCCGCAAGTGCGAGTTCCCATTTCAGCATAGTGTGTTCCCATTACACCACAAGGCCGTTGAATAAATCAAAACTCTGAGCATTATGTCTCATACATGAAAGTGCGCTGTGTGTCCACGGATCATCATTCAGGAATGCCATTCCACACCCACAATATTTACCATTATCCGCTCATCCACCTTGGTGCACGTCCGCATCAGCCACAAATTTTGGGGCCAACGTTGGTCAACTATTCCACCATAGAACAGGCCCGGCCCCCTTGGCGTTTTGCCAGCAACGGCTGTTGGATGTTTCACAGTTGACCCAGCCATCAGGCGACGACTGGCTTTCGATGTTCATATTTTGGGGCACCCAATTGTTTCGGACAACCCTCTGACAGATGTGTGCGAATCTCGTTTCCACAAGATCAAGTTCCGTGTTGCTTCCATTCTATTCCATTGTAGCTTGGGAGTAGGTATGGCCCGCTAGTGTCGGGGCTGGGCCATTCTTTTTATTCAGAATTTTACCCGAATAATCCGTGTTGTAGCGTGTGACGAGTTTCAAAGATTTTGAGCATAGACCAAAGTTAGCCCCTGCGATGAGTTACATTGCAGCGCATGTTGTATCCGGGTAGAATCCCCTCTGTGGCATCAGAATCGAAAGCTGGACGACTTGGTTTATCCAGAAAATATAAGTTTTCAGCATGCTGGACGCATCGCGTTTGAGCCGCGCAGCGATGCAAATTGTCCAACCACGAAAATTGTCCAAGTCAGTCAGGACTTTGAGAATGACAGATCCCCGCAGAGCGGCTTTCCCAGCGTTCAGCAGGAGTCGCTCGTTCGATTCGGGTCCGGGTCATGTGCAAGTGTCATGACTTTTTTTCTTCTTCTGTGGCTTTCCTTGGCGTTTTGCCAGCAACGGCTGTTGAATGTTCCATACCTAGCCCTTGGGTGACGACTGGGTGGAAATCGATTCCAGAGCTCCTGCCAGTGCGATGGGGCGTCCAAATCTTTCGGACAATGCTCTGACTGAGCGACGCGAATCTCGTTTCCATTCTATTCCATTGCAGGCATGGCCTGGTAGTGTAATGGTAACACACCTGCTTGCATTGACTAGGTATCTGTAGTAGTCTGCAGGAGTCCCTCGTTCAATTCGGGGCCGGGTCGTTATTTTTATTCTAATCGAATGATCCCGGTTGATGCGATGAGTTTGATTTTATTCTCCGAAGAAATCTACACCGAAATGCTTCACGTGTCCCATTGGCTGCATGCCTGCCTGATAATGGAGGTGCTACAAGTCCCGTAACAGAGTATTTCCCCTGGTCACCGTGGATTTTTAATACTTTCGTGTGGGAACACTTTAGCCGTTACAGACGGTTTCGTGAGCTGCTTTCCAACACGGTTTCGCCGGATTCAACCGAAATGCCCATTGGCATGGACCCGGGCATCGACTGCAGGTGGTGCACAGTGGCACTTGAATCGTTGTTGTATGGGCAAAAATTGACCTCAGTTTAATGACCAGATGCAACTTCTTCGAATGGCTAGCAAGTGGACATGAGATCTGTGAAGTCTCTCGGATGTAATATTCTAGGTACAACCGCATCATAAGATCCTTCGTATCAACGGTAACTACTGAAGAGAATACCATTTGCCGAAAATTTCAGGGGCATTAGGATTGGTCTTGTAAACCAGAAAGATACATTTCGCGTCATATCTATGGCTCTCTGTTCTCGGAGGGTTGAACTATCCTGGGCCTCCGGAATCACGCTCCCATCAGTTCCGCGGCCCGAGTGATGACTTGTGGTCAAAAAAATGAAAAGCACTCCAAGCGGAGCTGATCGAATTGTGTCAGCTAACCCCATTTTGAGAGATGCACCATACACATATTCAAACTCTGCGCATAAATAAAAACCTTGTGCGCACCCAGCCTCGGCTGGTCGTTGTCCAACAACTGCCCTTCTATGCCATTATAAGTTGGGAGTAGCCAAGACCCGGTGGTGTATGGTGAACACCTGCTGCTATTCCTACGAGGAGGCGCTCGTTCGATTCGGGCCCGGGTCATGTGCTAGCTTCATATCTTTTTTCTGTGGCTTTCCTTCGCGTTTTGCGACCCAGCCTGAAAATCACTTTTCTTTTCAATAAATTCTTCTGACTGATGTGGGAACACTTTAGCAGTTGCAGGCGGTTTCTTGAGCGACTTTCCAACACGATTTCGCCGGATTCAACCGAAACGCCCAGTTTCATTGGTGCCCTTCTATTCGATTATAGAGTCAGACCCGGTGGTGTATGGTACACACATGCTGCTATTCCGATGAACCGGGTCATAATGATACATGTGAATCGTTTTTCTGTGGCTTTCCTTGGCGTTTTGCCAGCAACGGCTGTTCAGAGTGTTTCACAGTTTACCCAGCCCTCGGTGACGACTGGGTGGAAATCGATTTTCTTCAACGTCCGACATGCATTTTTTATTTATATACCGCGTGGGGCGTTATGTCGGCACCTGGCCCGACGCCGTCGAGCACTCACCTCTATCGTGACTTGGACAGCAATGAAATGGGATCTGATCGTCATTTTGAATGGCAAGTAGGCGTTCCCAACTCGACCGTGTCACGGCCTTGTAGTGTAATGTAACATGCCATGTTCTATTTCCTCATGGGAAAATTACCGTATGGAGTCCTATGTTCGATTCATAGCTAGGCCATTTTATTTGCATGTCGTTCTTTTTGTAACTCAGTTCTTTTTCATCTTATCATAGGAATTCAAGCGCGCTTGCTCTCTGACCTCGGGCTCGCAGGGTGTGACAGAACCTCAGCACTCTGCGGAGCAGCACCATGTTCGATCGTGGCGGTTTCGATAAAAAGACTTTTAAAGATTTCGCATTCGGATTCCTGAACCTGGCAAGAGCGGCGAAGGACCGCACGACCGCTGGCAGCCTACTTGGAGCAAGACATTGCTGGGGTACCAATTGGCGCTGGCGCTTCTCTTTGGCTTCCAGTCCAGTGCGGGCTGGGTGCGATGTTCTTCTCGGATGGCATGGTCCTCGATGTTGGGTGCAATATTATATGAGCGCTGCAGATTCAAACTCAGTACGCTGGGCGCGTAGCTCTATTCCATTGCAGATGGGCAGAAGCCAAGACCCAGTGGTGTATGGTACATGCCCGCTTGCAATAGATTTTGGGGCTTTCCTGTCAGCGGGAGTCGCTCGTTCGATTCGGGCCTGGGTCATTCCTGTCAAATAACTGGTTTTTTGGTTTGGATTTTTGTAGCGTTCCAGGTAGCTGGGCGCTTATTGGGCACTCAGTCGTTTCCATTCTATTCCATTGTAGCTTGAGAGTAGGTATGGCCCGGTAGTGTAATGGTAACACACCTGCTTATCTTTTCCACCTGTGTATTTGCAATGATCTGCAGGAGTCCCCCGTTCAATTCGGGGCCGGGTTATTGTTTTTACGTCTACTCGAATTTCGCTGCGCCTGGAGCTGATCCCATTCTATTCCATTATGGGGCCAAGGCCCGGTGGTGTACGACAACACACCGGCTTTCAATATTGAATTGAAAAAAAGTACGCTTCTCAGCTGGAGTCGCTCGGCCCGTGTCCTGTGACTGAAACCTTGGTTATGCGTGAGTCTTTCCGCTAGGGATGCGCCTAGGACGCGCCACCAGAACAGTGTTTACTAACTGCCCAGCCATTCGTCTTGCCGAGCTCCTTTCCAAAACGAATCCTCAGTTGCAAGTAGGACAAGGAAGTTTGACCACTCCATCTTATCAAAAAATGATTTTACGGTTCCTTGTATAAAAACGAGAAAGTTTTCTTACTCGGGCAAAAGGCTGGCTAATTGAATGAAATTTCTCCTACCTTCTCAGGAAATAATCAATACATGGTATAATCGGAATCTGGGCAGAATAGCTTGTGGGGCAAGAAGTAGGAGGCAGAGTAGGAGCACTTTTTGACTGATGTGGGAACACTTTAGCCGTTGCAGACGGTTTCTTGAGCTGCTTTCCAACACGTTGCATAACCGCTTGACATCCTTTCCAACATGTTTGCACCGAAACACATTGTTGCCCTTCTATTTGATTATGGAGCCAGACCCGGTGGTGTATGGTACACACCTGCTGCTATTTCGTAGAATGTGTCCATCAGCAGGACTCGCTCGTTCGATTCGGGCCAGGGTCATGGGCAAGTTTCATATCCTTTTTTTTTCCTTGGCGTTTTGCCAGCAACGTCTGTTGAATGTTTCACAGTTGACCCAGCCTGGATATCAATTTTTTATCCGGGGCGCTCAAATTTTCCCTTCAATAAATTCTTCTGACTTGTGTGGGAACACTTTAGCGGTTGCAGACGGTTTCTTGAGCGGCTTTCCAACACGATTTCGCCGGATTCAACCGAAACGCCCAGTTGCATTGGTGCCCAACGTTCTCACAGCCGTTCTATGGAGCCAGACCCGGTGGTGTATGGTACACACCTGCTGCTATTTCATAAAATCTGTCGATCAGCGGGAGTCGCTCGTTCGATTCGGGTCCGGGTCTCTTATATCAAACGACTATTGGTTTTTTTGGCTGGCCGGATTCACGCCGTTGATGAATTGGCGCTCAGTCGTTTCCATTCTATTGCATTGTAGGTTGGGAGTAGGTACGGCCCGGTAGTGTAATGGTAACACACCTGCTTATCTTTACCCCCTGTGATCGTCTGCAGGAGTCCCCCGTTCAACTCGGGGCTGGGCCATCAATTTTATTCGGAATTTTACGCGAATAATCCGTGTTGTAGCGTGCGACGAGTTTGAAAGATGTCGAGCATAGACCAAAGTTAGCCCCTGCGATGAGTTACATTGCAGCGCATGTTGTATCCGGGTCTGAAAGAACTTACGGTGGCATCAGAATCGAAAGCTGGACGACTTGGTTTATCCAGAAAATATAAGTTTTCAGCATGCTTGCTGCTTCTGAGCGAGGCTTTCAATCTGCCTGCTTTGGCTGCCTGATAATGGAGGCGCTAACGTCGTCCTTTCGTGCGCCCAGTGTCATGGACCCGTGTTCCATTGACGCACTTGAATCGTTGTTGTGCAATACTAGCTTGGGTGGCACATCTTCAGTTCAGATGCAACTTCTCTTGGATGTAATATAAGACGGTAAATACATTTGAGGCCTCCGGATCACGTTCCGATCAGTTCCGCTGCCCGTATGAGTCAACCAACTGGAGCTGATCGAATTGTGATCCTGAATGCAGATGTCCTCTAATAATTTTTGCACACGCATAAATAAAAACCTTGTGCGCACCCAGCCTCGGCTGGTTGTTGTTTGAAACGGGAGTCACAGAACAACTGCCCTGTATCCAAGACCGGGGTCATAACAGCATCTCGACTGCGCCTCGAAAATGAAAGATGAAGAGGGACTGCGACACAGGTAGTCGGCGATGCGGGAACACTTGAGCAGTGAATGACCGTACATTCTGCGCGCCGTCTGCCAAAGTGCATTTCGCTGCCATACTATTTCATTATGGATCGAGAGCAGGCAAGACCCAGTGGTGTACTGGTAACACACCTGCTTTCCATTGAATGGCGTGCATTTCCGATGGGCAGCAGGAGTCGCTCGTTCGATTCGGGCCTGGGTCGTCAAGGTCATCACAAGCGGCTTTTTTTTCCCCCTCCACACTCGATTGTTCTTTGTCGGAAGTGGGCTGCCCTCGTAAAAATTCACGTCCAGGCGAGGGAAGTTCTCAACCGAACACTTAGGATTACAGGCGTAGTACCAGGCCACACTTATTGCGCTGAGGTGTAGCGAAACTGCGTATGCGCGCAGGCTTACCGGATCGCGACCTCATATCTGTGAGATCATCTCGCAACAAGCCACAAAACAAAACAAAAAAAGTCCCGGAGCTGTATATCTAGTGGCCTGGCCCCGAATCGAACGGGGAACCTCCTGCGCACATTTAACTTGTCCTTGAACAGTCAAGCAGGCATGTTATACCATACACCACCAGGCCGCACGTACATGTACTCGTATGTATACGACGTTGGACATGCCCGGCATACATTAAAAAATTGGACTTGACGAAAGTGGACCCATCTGAATAAATAATGCCGAGAGAACAGGCGGTTTCGACGCGGGGCTTTTTTTCCCTTCACAGTCTACTTCTTGACGTCCTTTTCACCAAGATGGCATCGGAATTAAGCGAAAAATTCTCGCTCAGAGCTCTCAGTATATATATATTCCCGTGCGCTGTTTAAATCTTGATCCTTCCCCGGCCATTTTTGAAGTAGGTACAGGCGGTTTCGACGCAGACTTTTTTTTACCTTCACAGGCTACTTCCTTACGCCCTTTTCAACAAGATGGCATCGGAATTAAGCGAAAAATTCTCGCTCAGAGCTCTCAGTATATATATATTCCCGTGCGCTGTTTAAATCGCGATCCTTCCCCGGCCTATGTACAGGCGGTTTCGACGCGGGGCTTTTTTTCCCTTCACAGTCTACTTCTTGACGCCCTTTTCAACAAGATGGCATCGGAATTAAGTGAAAAATTCTCGCTCAGAGCTCTCAGTATATATATATATATTCGCATACGCTGTTTAAATTGCGATCCTTCCCCGGCCTATGTACAGGCGGTTTCGATGCAGGGCTTTTTTTTCCATCACAGGCTACTTCTTGACGCCCTTTTCAACAAGATGGCATCGGAATTAAGTGAAAAATTCTCGCTCAGAGCTCTCAGTATATATATATTTTCGCCTACGCTGTTTAAATTGCGATCCTTCCCCAGCCTATGTAGAGGCGGTTTCGATGCAGGACTTTATTTACCTTCACAGGCTACTTCTTGACGCCCTTTTCAACAAGATGGCATCGGAATTAAGTGAAAAATTCTCGCTCAGAGCTCTCAGTAATATATATATTCGCATACGCTGTTTAAATCGTTATCCTTCCCCGGCCTATGTACAGGCGGTTTCGACGCGGGGCTTTTTTTTTCGTCACAGGCTACTTCTTGACGTCCTTTTCACCAAGATGGCATCGGAATTAAGCGAAAAATTCTCGCTCAGAGCTCTCAGTATATTTTTTCCCGGGTGCTGTTCAAATCGTTACCCTTCCCCGGCCCTTTTTGAAGTATGTACAGATGGTTTCGACGCAGGCTATTTCTTCACGCCCTTTTCAACAAGATGGCATCAGAATCAAGGGAAAAACTCTCGTTCAACGGCTATACAAATTCCAAGTAAATCATAGTGTTACAACGGAACGGTCGAACCAGAAACCCAAAAAAAAAAACTACGCGCTCATTCGCGTGAAATTGTTGATTTCCACTACCTTCCCCCACGCGTCCCTCTGAATCGTCAACCCCTCCTGGACAAACTCCATCAACCGCTCCACGGTTAGCTGGACGCAAATCCCCCGGTTGTTGAGTACCTGCGTCGGCTTCGAGACGAAGAGCGGGACATTTGGGCAACCATCCTGCGCCACCTTCACGAGCGTCTTCGACCTCGCGTTGTTGAACTCTGTAAAACGAGTCCAATCCGGGAAGTCTTGCGCATTGCAGTCGTAGATGGCGAGCGCCCGCCCGTTGTGCCCTTTGGGTGCACGGATCTCCATGAGCACCCATATGTGCCAGTTCGACATCCCCCACTCCGTCATCGAAGTCTTGGTCTTCACCGGATTGTCCACGAAACTGGAGACGACCGCCAAACGAATCGGCTGGGGACCGCGCCGCTCGTGCAGCCAGCCTTTCACCGTGTTCTCGTTGCTGAGGAACTGGTTCGGGGCCCATTTGCGGAATGCTTTGCGCTCGGTGCTGTCCTTCCAAGTAACGAGGCGGGAGTGGATGTCGAACAGACCGTGGCGAGCGTCGGAGACGAGCTGGAGTTTTTTTAGGAAGTCGGTGTAGGCCTCCGAAACGGCGTAGGGGTCGAGGAGTGTGCCTGCCGACTGCGCCGCGCGAACATCGGGCGGGATAACGACCTTGGCTTGGTGGCGGTCCGGGTTCTTCCGGGTCCGCACTACGGCGCGCTCGTGGCTGCCTCCCGCGGGAGCGTAATCGGCATCTGCTTCATCGTCGTCGTCGTAGGAGGCGAACTTGAAGCTGCGGCGGGGCGGCATGGTGGTGGTTTAGAAACAAGAGATGTTTGAATATGAGGCGCATCTCCCGCGCCGCCTTATCGATCTTGATCAGTAAACTCCGCAGCGGGGCGGATCTCACCCCGCATCAACGCCGCGTTATCGATTTTGATCGATCGATCAACGCCGCAGCGGCCGAGGAGCGGCCGGCACCATTTATCATTGATGGCCACGTCGCATGCCGAGCCTGCGCATCGTGGTAATAAAACAACATGAAGGACTTCCCTACAAACCAACTGCTCGAGTCAAAGTAATTACAGTTGGTAGACCCACCGTACACCTAATTCTTGAAGATATTCTTGGATCAGTCCAAGCGGCGATTTTTGAGGGATGAGTGGTCCGAAAATGGGAGTTTGAGTGAGTGCACCTATTTCATCCATCGTACCCCGAGCGTGTGGTCGCTCCACTTCTCCAACACGTCCCACCTGTTGTGGAATTTGGAGCGTGGTCAGCGCGGCATCGAGATCATGGCTTGGCTGTGGGAGTCGCCACCTGCGCAGTAGTGTACTTGTAGTTTCAATCATATTATCACCCTCAAATAAAAATCCACATTTACGTCGGATGTAACAACATCCCTTCCAGGTAAGGAGATCAGTCAATCCAGTTCGTTTATATGTGTGAACCGTGGATTAATGTCTTCCACATCATGCCGAAAAATTATTGTAAGGATTATAATCATGGCAACACATTCAAATTTGCTATTCAGCGTACTGATAGTTAGATTGGGTGACAGGAGTAACCAATTTATCATGGTTGGGGACCTGAACGGGGAAATGAAGCCTTTGCAAATTGTCCAACCGCAGCCGATGTTATTCGATTATGGAGGCAGACCCCTGCTGCCATTCGAAAACATCCTAGCGTTCAGCAGGAGTCGCTCGTTCGATTCAGGCCCACATACATCTCCTCGTTTTTTGATGGCCGAATAAACAATATTGTTTGGAAGTAACAAGTTACGTACCTCCCACGTGATTGTGTCCAACTCTCCTCACTCCCATGACACAGTCAATATCTGTGACGGTTCACTCTATCGAGGATTGGGCTCTCTGGCTCCCGGAATTGTCTTTAATCCGTTGTACTCTGGCTGCTCCCCTGCCTGCTTGGTGTGCTACCGGACCTTATCCGTCCGTATCCAGCGGAAACCTGCCGCTTGTGTCTGAAATCCCAAAACCGGCGACTTTGCTCGATACGGACTGCTGCGACACGCTTCTGAGCGAGGCTTTCAACCTCGTGCTCTCCCATGTCTCTGATATACGTTCCTTAATCGTGTATTACGGCCCATCGCGTTCGGCTGTGCCTTTTGTGTCCAGCTTGATGCGCGTCCTGGCTCAGATGTGCAGCAAAGAGGCCATTACCCTGTATTTATTCCTATTTTCCGTATGACTCTGGCTTACTTTTTCATCGCAGCACAGAGACACCCTTCGTACGGCCTCGGACCAGGACGCCGTATGAAGGTAGCTTGGACGGGATGGCCACTTTCCTTGCATGCCATTCCGTGGAAAGCTTTGGCGACGATTCCCGATATATCACCGAGGTACAGCCTCGGACCGTGGACGCCGATACAGCAGTTTACCCGATGAGCGTCGACAGCGAAAGTGACTCCTCCGTGTCCTCCATTGACGTTCCTCTAGAGGCCCAC